AGATGTTAGCTCAGAGCCAGTCTTCCTCAGCAAAAAGAGGAGGATTAGCATGGATGTTAGCTCAGGGCTGATCTTCCTCACAAAAAAAAAAAAAGAAAACCAAGAAAGAAAAAAAACATAATTGAAGTATGCATACACAGATGATCCGGATACTGGCATTATCAGACACAGACTTTAAAGCAACTATGATTAATATATTCAAAAAAAATAGGTGAAAAGATGGAGGATTTCATCAGAGAATTGGAATCTAAAAAAATAATAACTTTTTTTTCTTTTGCTGAGGAAGATTCAGCCTGAGCTAACGTCTGTCACCAATCTTCCTCTATTTTGTATGTGGGTCACTGCCACAGCATGGCTGATGAGTGGTATAGGTCTGCACCCGGGAACTGAACCTGTGAACCAGGGCTGCCAAAGCAGAGCACGTGAACTTAACCACTAGGCCACCGGGCCGGCACCCGGAATCTAAGAAAAAAAAGAGAGAGAAGTCAATGTAAATTTTAGAACTTAAAAATAAATTAATTAAAATAAAAATTCTACAGATGGGTTTTAAAGCAGAATAGACACGGTGGAAAACAGTTCAGTACAAAATATCTAGATTGTATCATAGTGAAAAAGGATAAAAAACATATTAAAAAAAGATGAGACATACAGGTCACGGTGAAAAAGTCTAACGAACACATACTGAAATCCCGGGAGAAGAGGAGGAAGAGAATGAAAACTAAGTAACATCTAAGAGATACTGGCCAAGAATTTTGCCAAATTGATGAGACATCAACTCACAGATCCAAGCTTCAGGAATTACAAGCTGAACAAACACAAAGAAAACCATACTTAGCATATCATAATAAAACCTATGAAAACCTAAAACAACTACCAATCTTGAAAGCGGCCAAAGGAATGAGACACTTTACCTTCAAACAGGCAATAATAAGACTGACAGCTGACTTTTAAACAAAAAAAAAAAATGGAAGTCAAAACACAACGCAACGACATATTTAAAGTGCTGAAAGAAAGCACTTGTCAAACTAGAAGATTATACCCAGTGAAAACATCCTTCAAAAGTGATGGCAAAATAAATACATTTTCAGACAAACTAACCAAACATTCAGCAGCAGCAGCCCCGCACAAGAAGAAATGCTAAGTAGAGTTTGGGAAGAAGGAAAATAACTCCAAGATGAAAATTGGGTAATATAGGGAGGAATAAATAACACTGGAAAAGGTAAGCACATGCTAAATATAAATTGGATATCGAACGCTTAAAACAATAACAATGATATCTTGCGGAGTTTAGAATATATGTAGAATTAAAATGCAAGATGACAGTAACACAAAAGCAAAAGGAGCTA